CAACTTGTCGACCTAATTCATGGTCGTCATAAGAACATAGTAATTGTCAATATGATCAATGATATTCATCATTGGACAAATTGCTTTGCAGGTGTTCTCATTGCTCACATCGAAAGAGAGTTCAACACAATAGTTGATAAACTAGCTCATATAGGAAAATCTCAATTTGATTCGTTTTGTATTTATCATGTTCCTCCTATATGTCTATATCACTTGTTATCATAAACGATGTAACAATCTTCAAAATCAATGAAATATGATGTTCAAAAAAAAATATTAAAGGAGAAACATTCTTAGATGATTTTGCTTAGGTGTCATTACCACAAAATTTTCCAACTCTTTTTATTTTTCATTTAATTAACTAAACTCTTAACACTATCTTCATTGCCAAACAATTGTTTTCCCAACATCACTAATCCGGTAATAAACTTATCTACATTCCCAAACAAATAATCTATCTAATATAATATTTTAAAGTTTCTTCTAAGTGAAGTTTTGAGAGGCTGCCACGTGTTACTTTTGATGTTAACAATTTTTCATTTTTAGTATCTTATTTTTACTTAAGTTTACATTTGTCCCTCTAGATTTTAGAATATTTGCATTGATTCTTTAAAATAAAAATGTGATATCAATATATATACTTAAACTAATAAACTAATTAAAAAAGTATATAAGATGTTCCAATGTTTTTTTTTGTATTTGTGATATGCCATAATATCATTATATAATTTTCTATCATGTTTGGTATGTCAATATTTTGATAACACGAGAAAATTTATATATTTTAAAATAATTCACATAGGATAGTTTGAAATTATTTTTTATTTTTGAATCTNTACTTTTATTATATTGTAAGATAAAATTAACTCAGTAATTAAAAAAAAAACCAGTCCAATAAATACACTTTTTAAAACCTAAGGAAACATCTTGAGGGAAAGAAAACTTTATATATGAACGTTTTGTAACGTATGGTGTTAAATATCAATAATTAATACAATAATTGTGTAAGTTTAGGTCCAAGCTTAACTAATCTTGACACACCATTGATAATTTTGTACTTAATACTTTCTCTATGCAACTAATATTAAAATATGCATTTTATAAAAAAATGTTATGAAATTCATTTATTGATAAGATATTGAAAGAGAAATATCTACATTATTATAAAACGTAATGACATTGTAGGAATCACGAGATTTTATGAAGAACATATAATATAACATTAAAATTGCAAGATACGCTACAATAAACATATTTCCTTACATCGATAATCACTTTCTTTCTATTTTAAAAC